GACAGTTGCCTAATGGGACACGTGACATGGACTGAGGAACACCGCCAAGTAGTGTGCCAGCTAGTCGACAAGCTGTCCAGCCCACCAGTACTCGGTTACCCTGACTTCAACCAACCATTCGCCCTCCACACTGATGCATCGCAAGATGGCCTCGGTTGTACCAGCAGAGGGAAGGCAAGCTGAAGGTAATATCCTATGGCTCCAGAACACTTACCCCTCCAGAAAAAAATTATCATCTGCATTCTGGTAAATTAGTTTCTGGCACTAAAGTGAGTGCTTTAGGGACTATCTGTTCCATACTTCTTCCTTTGTTGTGTATACTGACAATAATCCGCTCACATACATACTGTCAACTGCAAAGTTAAATGCCACAGGGCAGAGATGGGTAGCCGAGTTAGCGGATTTCAATTTTACTATAAAGTACAGACCAGGTAAAGCAAATGCGAATGCAGATGGCTTATCTAGAATGCCTATGTATTTTGAGAGGTACATAAATCAGTGCACAGAGTCAGTCAGTCAGGAAACAGTGAGTGCCACTAAGCAGGGTATCCTGGTGCAGCAGGAGGAGCCAGCACCGTTGTTGAGCTCAGTCTCATTCAGTACACTTCAAGAACAGGCAGATACAGACAGGTTGGTCAGCACAGTACAGCCAATATCCAAAGACAAAATACGAGATGCACAACAGAAAGACCCGGTAATAGGCAAAGTATTGGACTACAAAATTAAAAATGAAAGGCCTAGTCCCAATGTCCTAAGGAAGGAAAGCCCTGAGCTGAGAAACGTTGTTAGGGAATGGAGTAAACTGGAGATCAAGGCAGATGGAATTTTGCAAAGGGGAAGTCAGTCTAAATGTCAGCTAGTACTCCCCAAGATCTACCATCCTCTCGTTCTGAAAGAGCTTGATAAGGAGAAGGGTCACTTGGGCACAGAAAGGACAGTTAATCTGATCAGAGACCGTTTCTTTAGGCCAAAAATGCAGCGTGACGTGGAGCCCTTTGTGACAAATGTGTGTGAATGCCTCAAGAAGAGAAAACCAAACCGAACAACACGAGCTCCGATGATGAGTATCAAAACCATTCACCCATTCGTGTTAGTCTCAGTGGACTTCCTACACCTCGAAAAGTCTAAAGGGGGGTATAAATATATTCTGGTGGTTATATACCATTATACACACTTTGCCCAAGCCTACGCAACTACCAACAAATCAGCAAAAACTGTGGCTGACAAACTATTTAACGATTTTGCTATGAAATTTGGGTTTCCTGGAAAAATCCATCATGACATGGGCAGGGAATTTGAGAACAAGTTGCTGCACTGTCTCAAAGAACTCTGTGGTATCAAGGGATCACACACCACTCCTTATCACCCACAAGGGAACGGACAGACTGAAAGATTCAACAGAACACTTCTCTCCAGGTTAAGAACACTGACAGAGGAACAGAAAACTGACTGGAAAAGCTATCTTCCTAAAAAGTCCTGCATGCTTACAATTGCACCTTGAGTGATGCAACAGGCTACTCTCCATTATTCTTGTTATTTGGCAGGACACCCCGGCTTCCAGTGGACATCCTTTTTGGAATCGAAAGTGAGGACCAGCCAGGCTCATATCAGGCCTATGTGGAGAAATGGAGAAAGAGGATGAGATAGCATCTAAACATGCAGGCAGGTCAGCTGACAGAGGGAAAAAACAATATGTTAAAATAATCTATGGTCCAGATTTACAAGCGGGCAGCCGAGTCCTGGTGAGGAATACGACAGAGAGAGGTGGGCCGGGAAAACTCCGCTCATACTGGGAAGACGATGTCTACATCATCAGAGGACGCAAAGGGGATGACAGTCCAGTGTTTGAGGTCCAAACTGAGAGTGGAAAAAGTAGGACAAAAGTCCTCCACAGAAATCTATTGTTGTCATGTGACTTCCTGCCTGTAGCTGAAAATACAAAACCAAAAACACTCCAAAGCACAGAGCAAGTAAGGACAGGAAACAATAATGGAACACGGGACTCAGAACACAGCACATCCAGCAAACAGACACTGAAGATAAGGAGTTTCCCACTGAATCCGACAGCACCAGAATTCTATCCTCAGGACACATCTGACGTGTCAGACAGACACCACTCGCTCCATGGAGCTCATGAGGAACAGGACGAAAATCCAGCTACTGACAGGGCAGAACTGGATGTTATAGACAACAAGAATGACATTGGGAATCCAGGAGAAAGTGTGGACTCTGACATTGAGATGCTGGAGGAAAATTTCGAGACGACATTTGTTCAAGTGGGGGAGAGTGTGAGATAAATGGACTTTTGACGAACTAATGTTATATTGTAATGTTAATTATTAATTATTATTATTAATTATTAATTATTAATGTTAATGTTAATAATTGTAATATAGTTAAATCGGGCAGCAGGTGTCGCCATCTCACCACTAGCAGGGTTGTCTGTGCATGGTATTCACACTTCCTTCTAAAGTTTCTCAGAAGAAGAACAGCAAGAGAAGAGTGTAATGTAGAGAACAGGCATCCTCAACAAAACATTTGTTTAAACTGTATTCAAGGTGAGATTTCGATTTTAAAGGCACACATTGTTAAGGGAAACTGTTACGCTTGTTAGCTAAGGCTAGTAAGAGATTGTTTGGTAGAAAACTGTTGATAGGGCCATTATTAGCATTAGCCTAACAAGCTAACCCGTTGGTGAATGTGACAGCATGGTTATTTTGGTATTGTTGTTTAGTTTGGACATTAGTAAAGTTTCTCAGAAGAAGAACAGCAAGAGAAGAGTGTAACACTGAGAACAGGCACCCTCAATAAAACATTTGTTAAACTGTATTCAAGGTGTCTGTTACTGGCTTAATATTAACTTCCACTGTTACTGTAAAGCTGTTAGAATTGTGGCCTATCTCCTATTTGCAATTAATATGCGTCAATCCAGTTCAATTATTTACATTAAAATGATAATCTACTCTGGCTAAGGTGACTTATCAAGAGTAAAATAATAGCTGTGATCTATACACACCTCTGCATTAGCAACCCACTGAAATGAAGGTACAGGCACCTTAACCCTCTCTCTCTTCAGGGCCCTTGGGAGCAACTGCACGTGGGTCTGTTGGGACTGTTAGTACACTGGCTGTGGTCATTACAGTGAACAGTGTCTGGCAATGTGATGAGAGGGCATGTGAGCCCTTGTTGCTGTACTTTATCTCCTTGGAGCAGAGGCTGCATTTAGCATACCCTGCCTTATCAATGCATTTAAAACACTGTGACAGCGGGAAGCTGTACTGCTCTCCCTTTACGTCTGTTTAGACCTCCACCTTTATCCTGGCCCAGCTCCACTTACAGCTCAGACCTGTGTCAAGCTGCGCTACACAAACATACTTATCAGTATCTGGGGCTCATTTTTCGAGAGACAGCGAGATCCTCCTTGTTGCACTGGCACCTCAGTGACTAGTCAGTGGCAAGCGTCAGTCAGGTGCCCGTCAAGAAGCTGCTGAGCTGAGCGGGCGGAGCCACATTTCCTGAGAACACACTTTGTTGTTACGATAGGATTTTGATTAAACTATATTACGAACTGTATTGCATCAAACAATCCACAGATTAATTGACAAGTTGATTCTTGCTGTGTACATGGATAAATGAATATTAAATTGCATGTAGTCATGCAATTTAGTTGCTAACATACTCCCATCGGCCCACGTTTATTTATTTATATTTATCTATTTTTCTTCTAACCCTGGTGTGTGCTTGCATCAACAGTTTTCTTGCATACGGTCATTCTGTTGCCTTGACTTTTATTTTGACATTTTTTTACTTCCGGACTACCTGTCTTGATTTGCGTCACTCTTCAAAAGAAAAAACAACCCTGGGGGGGCTGCATGTTTCATCACGTTACGTTTAATCGCGATAATGGCGAACGTTATCAGTCGACAAAGTTTCGCATGCAGTAGACGTTAACATAACCCAGCAAGTCTGAACTGTAACGGTACATAATTTAACTTAAACTTTAACGCCAATACACAATCCACTAACGTTAGCTAACGTGATATCAAGCTGACTAGCTTTCCATTATAAACAGGTTGGGAAGCCGGTGTAGACATCTTAACGCTGATTGGCCAAGACTCGACACGTCACATCAAAGATGTTTTATAGCAAAGATCACGACCTAACCTCGTCTAACTCCAATCTGAGAAACGCTGGCTGGCCAATTGATCC